ATTAAAGCAAAAATGAAAGCTTTCACGTAATGTCAAAATTGAAAAGCTTCGATTTTTGAGTTCATATATTTGTTTATCTGACTCAGAGGAGTCAGTGCCTTACCAATCATGAACCTCACTGCACGTCACTGGTGTGAGTTATGAAACATTGCTTAATCACTTATCTGGATTATGTGTTAATATTTTTGACTTTGTTTTGTAAAGAGGTTGAAAGGAACCAAAATAGGAAACTTCCCTCATATTGAGTTCTTATCTCCACCAGAATCCCAACGTTGATGTTCGACGGGAATGCATTCTGAAAGCTGTCTGTGTCTACTTAAATGAAAAGCCAGATAACCTGTTCAAGGAATTCTTGGTAAGTTAAAAACGGAACGATCAGTTATTTTCCTTTTTTTAATTTGGGATTGGAAATGGAAGGTGGACTTACTTGTCCATATGTGTATGTAATTAACTTATCTTTTTCTTTTATTTTTATTTATGTGGATCTTGGAGCAAGCAGAGAAACAGAGAAGCTGACTTTGGGAGTCTATGTTGTCAGACATGAAGGAGCAAGCTCTGCAGATACACCTTAGGACATTGGTGTCATCGTAGAAGGATGCACTGTGCAGCAAGCTCTTAGTGATGTGGCAAAGGGTTGTGCCCTCCTGCTTGGACTAATCTACACTCTAAATCTGAGCATTTGAATTTCTTCAGAAGGTACTGATGGAGTTTGATGGGAACAACCTATCCATGAAGGTGCAGGTTCTGAAAAACAAACTGCTTGAGTTTGAGCAGCCTGCACTCTATAGTTCTATAGAGGACACTGAACTTCTGCAAGGCCTTTCACTTTTCTGCGTTCTTTGTTCTTGGACCTTTACCAACATCCAACTACACTGAAAAAAACTGCTCCTAACTTTGGACTTCAGTTTAAGTTTTGAAGCAAAGGTTATTTTTCTAAATATGGACAAAAATGACACTAAAGTAATTTCTCCCTGCTGTTTGCAGGGCTGTATTGTGGGCTTTTCATTGTAGCCCAATCAAGTTTA